ATAAGATGTTGTTCGGTGTTACCTTGCTGCTTCGAAACAACGTGAGCAATTACCGGCTTCAAGGTTTGGGGATTTCGGGTTGAAGGGATTCATTTTTATAGGGCTTTGCGATTTAGGGGCTCGGGTTAAGGACCCCCCGGCTTTTGGGCTTGATAGGATTCTGGGTTCGAGGCTTCAGGAAGGGGTCTCCAGCATCGTGAACGACGAGGCAGTTTTTGAAAAGGCTTTGAAAGAGTTTCGACTATTCAGGGTCTTGCATTCTGGACTTGCGCAGACACATGTACCAGCGCTGCTGCTGCAGTCATGATTCTTAAGTATCAAGCTGACATAAACTTGTTGTTCGCTGAACTCGCCGTCTCGTCCGACTTATCCCCAGCTCGCATAATTATTTTGATAGTGAAATGAGTATATAATGTATAGAGCAACAACTTCGCCGTTGCTGTGAGTTGGGCAAGTTCTGGGATTAGGGTTTGCGTGTCTGACCGTGTAGGCCTGAGTTTCTGTGTTTCTCAGTTGCTCCCAATAGCAACGAGAGCAACAACAGCACCGCCGCCACCGGCGCCACCGCCACCGCCAACCCCCACCCCCACCCCCACCCCCACCCCCACCACCAAGACCACCAAGACCGCCACCACGACCACCACCAAGACCACGAAGACCGCCACCACGACCGCCACCCAGACCACCGCCAAGACCCCTGCCGCCGCCACCACCATGACCATCACCACTACCACAACCAACAACACCACCACCAAGACCACCACCATCGCCACCACCAGTGCCAGTGCCAGCGCAACAGCAACGACAGCAGCAACAGCACCAGCGCTAGCACCAGCACCAGCAGCAGGAGCAGCAGCAGCCGCAGCTACTCCTACCACTACATGGCACTGCATCACTGCCAGGTCACTACCACCGCAAAAATTTGCCTCCCCCCACCACAGCTGGCCATACCTCTTGGTGCCAGGTACTGCTAGTTCTTCTTTAGCAGCCAGTGTGTCTGTTATGTCAAATAATAATATCGGGCGAGGCAGATCACAATTCCATCACGTGATCGCCTCCCCGGAAGTGGAGGAGGCCAGGACAGGTCTTCTACCATGACGTGGTTTTGTTGGCTCGAGGTCTTTGGGATTCAGTTGCCATTCAGCATTCATTTCCAGCCCTTTCAATGCATTTCCTGCTGACAACGCTTCTTTCGAGACAGCTCTACGACAAATCGGGTTCAGAGAAGGCCCTCCGAGAGCGCGCGGCCTTGAAGACTCTCACACGCATGCACGCACAGAAGCCACGACTGTTGGTAATCTCGACTACTACTCGCATGCAGCTTTGACCACAATCGTAAAAACACAGTCTTCATTCGGTTGAATCCGCGTAAGGGCAATGTTCAACGCAGTAATCCTCGCATGTTACTGATGTACTTGCAGTCAGAGTATTCAGCATCTAGCTATTGCAGCGATCTTTAGTAAGACCAGATCACCAATGCTGCTTTTCTTGTTACCGGTAGTAGCACTGGTCAGGATTGCTAGAACAGGATTAACTCGGGAATTAACTCGAGCAATGCTTCAAAGCCTGCGATAGTAGTGTGCGTATTGCTAGCAATAGTCAAGAGTCGTGGTAGCAGCAGCTTTGTTAGCATCAGCGATAAGAATAGCAGTGGAGGCAACAGCAGTAACAGCAGCCATAAGAGCCTGGTGGTCCCCGCCCTACATACCCAAGAACCCGTTCTAGACCACCCCATGATTGCAATTGTGGCGGGAGGCCGATTCGCACCCCAGGACAGTCACCGCATTGTGACTGAGATCACGATAGGTGTGTGGAGAGTTTGGTGGGAAGACGAACTGCATCCCAAAATGTTCACGATTGGACCATAACCCCGGCAGACTGGCTGCCCTGCGAGACCAGGAGCCGAATAGTGTGGCCCCGACTTCGAACGATCTGGAAGATTCCGGAAGTCAAGAGCAGCACAGGACGCGAGTCCCGAAAAGTCGCCATGCGCACGACACTGTGGCGGGAGTGCGCTTCATCAGCTTAGGGAGCGCCCAATTTCAGGACGGTGGAAGGGTCGCAATTTTCGTACAACATGTGCACCGCGCCACAGCGTGAGTGACGATGGCCAGCAAAAATCTTGGAATACATGGTGTGGTGATAATAGGACATGGCAGTTTCACTAGAAACAACCCAATCGATGCGATGGTAAGAGGGCTTGCAAGCACGGTCAAAAAAAACATCCGAACAGCCCACGCTGAACCTCGCCATGCAGTAAACTTTGAGGCCGGAGTCGCTGTGAGCTCCTTGTGGTCGCGGGGCCCTCGGAGAAGGGGCTTGAAGCTGGGAAGAGGCTTAACCAGAACCCTCCTTGTACCCTCAAATAGGGGTATGGGGTCCCAAGTAGGGGGTACTTAGGGTCTTATGGAGGGGAGATGGAGGGTCTAGGAAGGTGAAGAGCTTAGATTTGGGCCAAGAGCATTCCCTCAAACTCGTCGTTCGCAGCGCGTCACTTCTCTGCGCTTAGCAGCCGGGTGTTAACAGTGGCTGGACGACAAATCCTCTGTTCTCCTCACGTACCGAGCATGCCTATGCCTGTCACCGCTCGTCTTGCCGGAAACTGATGCATGACAGCCGTTGTAAGTCATGTCGGATTACCTATAAGCTGTCTGTCTATGTTTGCGCCACGTGCTGCAGAAATCGGTTTTGCTAGTTCTTGTGCAGACTTGCACGCCTGTGCTCGTTGCTTCGTACACTTTCGCCGCGTCAACTGCGCATCTGCATCTCTTGATGCAATGTTTGCCTGACGAGCAGAGCACGTAATTTACACCAGCCAGATCTGGGCAACGTTGGGGTAGAAAGCTGTGACGTTCACTCTAGCTTAGCAGCTGCTTGCCGCCGTGCCCCCGCAATGAGAGAAGCAACATCGCAAAGAAGTACTCAGCAAGAAGTCAGCAAGTAAAAAGTGTCGCCTCCTAAATGACCGTCTGCGAGCATTTTGGAACGTTCTTTGCTTCCGGCCGCAAAGTCTTGCTCAGGCCGGACCTACACTATACCGCCCGCATCCTGCCAGCCGGAAATGGCCCCGGGAAGCTTTGGTGCGCAGCGGGGCTCCCATATACTATTATTATTATTATTTATTATTATTATTATATTATTATTATTATTTATTGTTATTTATTATTTATTATTTGTTATTATTATTATTATTATTTTTATTTTTTTGTTATTATTTATTATTATTATTTATTGTTATTTATTGTTATTATTATTATTATTGTTCTTACAAGTATTATGTATAATTCCTATTTTGAGTTCTAAGCAGGCTCTACAAGGGTTGATGCGCCTCTATAGGAGCTTAATCATGTGGGGGCCGCAGTAACTGGAGCTGAAAGTGGCTCATCGGGTTTGGGCTTCGGGGCTTGCAGTTTCTCATTTTTTTGGAAGAGATGATATACCACGGCGTACTACACGATCATCAGGTAATTACTCCTGCCCATCATGACGTTCAGTATTGATTCTTCCGGGATTCGGAGGTTTCCGGACTCCTTCTCCGAAGTTGTCTGCTCGTGTGGCCTTGCAGCGTGGCATTCCGCCGGCACAGCTCCCGAAGGATGATGGCCAGCAAATAGTATCGTCTAGAAGGGTCCAGGAGTCTAGCAAATGGTATGTGGCAACATGCAGTATCACAGAACAAACAGGACGCCAAACCCCTCCAAACCGGTTCGCTCTATCGGCAAGCTAGCGCTCTCCGACAGAAGGCAGTCGACTTTCCGGTGCTTTATCGGCAAGCAGACGTAGACATTCAGCCTTGCGGGGCCCGGCCCCGGGGTGCTCACTTCTGCTCACCGCAGGTACTGGCGGTGTGATGTCGTGTACGCGGAGTCACCAGCCTTGCTGCGCGCTTGCAGCCGACTCAGCCGAGTCTCAGCCGGGAATCTGGTCCACTGCCCTCCCAGCTGCCTTCCAGCTTCGGCAGGACAACGCCCTTGCTAATTGTCTCGTCTGAACTCGGCCTGTAGTTGAGTTTACGGAGCTCGGAGGGCTGTGCATGAACAACGTGCACTTCCTTCGTTTCACGGCACCAGGAAGCTCGGAGGCTGCAAGCTTGCCAGCGACTGCACGCGCGCGCGCGCGCCGACGGCGGGGTGCGATTGACACAAAGCCATAAAATTCCGGTGCATGAATACAGTCGAACCATACGTCTTGCAGACCCTGGCCCCAGCCCGTCTCCGTGCCATTGACCTAGAACTCACATGGGCAAAAAGGGCCTACCGGAGCATCCGAGCACCCACATTGCAGCTCCTGAAGGCAGCAGAGCTGAATTTCCAGAAGAGTTCCACTTCATAAGCGCAACCCACTTTCTGCCCCCGAATGCCGCATGGCCATCACTGCCATGCTCGGCCAAGGCCGGGCATTGCCGATTCCGCAGCTGAAAAGCATCGCAGCAAAGCCCTGGCACCTTTGCCAGGTGATCACAGCCTGAAGAGCCTTCGAGTAAGAGCCTTGCAGATTTGCTACCCGAGGCAGGCTCTCGCTTCTGTCAATCTTTACTGGGCCGTGTGGGGGCTAGGGCATCTTCTTCCCACATTCGGCTATTCAGCTTCCTCTATAGATTTTCGGCTCGAAGTGCCCGGATCCTTTTGGGAAGGCACCTTCCATGCGCAATCTTTCTGATTCAGACAACGCAGCGTCCGGTGTTTGCGCGCCTGAAATTGGTGTTTCCCATGCGCAGTGGGAGACGTCCAATTTACAGGTCCCGTGCGCAGAAGAAGCACACTTCTTCCCTCCTGACGTGGGAGGTTCTTCCCCATTCCTCTCTGAGTCATCTATTCGTTCAAGGCTGGGCTGAAATACACGGATACTAGTAGTTGACCGGCCAAAGGTTTGCCAGAAATGACTTTGAATTTGTCAGTTGAGTTCTGGAAAACCACGCTTGACCAGTGCTTCTGACCAGGACTAGTAGGCCCCCCACATCTCGGATCCCTGGTTGTCTCGGAAACCCAATGTTTGCCCAGGCGATCGGAGGATTTGCTGGTCGATGTGCAGCCTGAGTTGGTGCGAGGAGTGCCCATGAGCAACATCTTAAGACGCTTTGGGCTAGAATGGAGACCGGGAAGTCAGCCAGGATCCTTGTCGTGGAGGCCAGAACTTTCCAAGCAGACGCTGCGCTACAGTTTTTTCTTCAGTCATGATTGGGAAACATCGGGGTGGATGAAATACCTGTCACTGGTGATTTACTTCAACAGCCGAGCAGCCGCAACAGCAACCTGCGTCACGAGCCTGGCACTAGGTGTCCTCGGTGCATGGACACGAGATACGCCGGACGGATGGATTCTACCCAGGACTGCTTGGTGGACAGTGCTTGGACATGTGGTTGGAATGAGTTTCCTGCTCTTCTGGCAACACCTGCGTGAACTTTTCTGCGGGGCCCGCTTTGGCTTTCTTGATCGTTTGTGTATACCTCAAGATGACCCAGAGAAGAAAAACCAATGCGTCTACGCTCTGGCCTCCTTCTTGAACAAATCCGACGATCTCATCGCGCTGTGGTCTCCGAGATACTGTCGCCGATTGTGGTGCATGCCCTTTGGCCCCCGTCTAGTCGCGAGAGGGTGGAGCAGTCGCTGTATTCCAGTCTCCGTAGTGGGGTTCCTTTAACTCCCTAAACCCCTAAACCCTAAACCCCGAAACCGGTTTACGGATTTAGGGGTTTAGGGACTATAGTGACTAGGGTTTAGGGTTAGGGTGGAAGAGGTCATGAGGCAAAGGGTGGAGACCTGGCAGGGAGGCCGCGAGGAGGGGTGGGGCCTGAACTCCTGAACCGTAAACCGAGAACCACTATGTCACTATGTCCCGGTGTTGCTTACGAATGGTGCGATAGGGCCCTGGCCGTCCCCCCTATTTCGAGTGAGCCTGTGAACTTAGGATTTTCGGGTTTAGGGTTTACGGCTTGAGCAGATTAGCTTTTTGCTTTACGCAGTCACGATTGCTGGGGTTGGTGTAGTGAAGTGCCCGGGAGCGATCGCCCTGCCCTGTCGTGCTCATCAGGTACGAGATTGCCTGCTTCCTGATCAAGCGCAAGGACGCGAATCGAATCAAGTTCCTGCCCGTGCAAATTTCCGTCATATGGATCCTGACTTACTTTGCTGTGTCAACGACATGGCTCTCCTTCTTGCTGGTCCAAAGGTTCGGGAACGAGCTCTTCGACTGGTACGAAACTAGCGGGAAGATCAACGTTGGGGTAATGATTGCAGTTCAGGTTGGGATCCTGTATCCGCCCCTGTTTTATCTCCTGAACCAGATGCTGTTTGACATGGCCCAGTTGCCCGAACAGCTGCAAAGTTTCGATATCGAGATAGCCGAATGCTTCTGCTGCTCTAACAATCATCGGCAACCTGTGACTGGAGAGCAGATCCAATGTGACCGTGAGCTCATTTATGGCGTATTGCAGCTGTGGTCTTCTGGCAATATTGCGTTGGAGGAAGGGAGTGCGCGGCGTATCCAGCATGTCTTCAAAAGCCACTTGGACAAGCACTTGCGAGAGTCAGTTGAGCAGGCTTTTACACACAGTGGGATTCTCATGCGCCCGTTGATGTCTGCCGCTGCGATCGGTTCCTTCCCCTTTTTGTGCGACCTCATTGGCAAGGAGGGTGCCAGAGTAGTGCAACTCTGGCCGCGCCCGAGTCCGATCAACAACTTTGGCCTTGCTGTCTACATGTTGTTTTGGATGCCGATCTTCCTCCGCAGTCTTCTGATGCTAGGCAAAGCCAGCACTTCGTGCTGGAATCGGTCGTGGTTCAGGTACATCGTTATCGCTTGCCAAGCGATGTCCTTGCTCCTCATGAGCTTGCTTTTCATAGTGGGCTATCTGGTCTGCATCGCAGCTAGCAAGGATAATTGGACGAGAATGACATCGCCCATGGATCCCCTGCCACTGTACTTGCTCTGCTTAGTTGTCCTTTGCAGTGTGGCTGTCGGTCTGCGTCATCTATGCTCCTGCCGGAAGTCAGTCCTGATCGGAGGCGCACCTTCTACAGGGCGGAAGAAAGCTGTATCACCGCAGGCGACATTGGAGTCGTCTGCTGCCAAAGAGGTGCAGGTGCCGGAAGTGATGGCCTCTGCATCCGACATGTCGGAAGAGTCGACTTTCGAGATTTGACTGGGTGCTCCAATGTTGCAATGTCAGCTTGAGTCCAGGGACTACTCGGGCTTTGAAAGACCCGAGTCCGGCCTTGGCAGTTGTAAGGTGCGTTCGGATGAAGCATAAATTATAAAGCATCCTGAAGTTTCACCCGACACCAGTGTATCAGTTACTACAGGGTCCAGATTCGACAAGAGCTTCGCAGAGGGAAGCCTTTTTTGTGAGGAAATCGCTTCGTGCCACTCGACGCCCAGGCCAATGTAATGCAAGAGGCAACACCAGGGCGTCTGAGTGTTTCAATGATAATGTCGCTTGAGTCCTGGGGTTGCTCGGGAAGATCCGAGTCCGATAATGGCATTTCCAGAACGTTCGTTCTGCCAGGGTCATGGACTTCAACAAGTTTCACTCGGCATCATAGCATAGACGAGTGATTCGTTCAAATTCGAGAAGAGCTTCTCAGAGAGAAGCCTTTTTTTGAGGAAGTCTTTTCCTGTCACGCACCGCACAGGCCCTCGTGCCACGAAAGCGATTGGAGTTCTGCGTTCGCGACACCCGAGAGATCCACTGCAGCTGGAAGTCAGTTCTTGTCCTTGGGTGCCCGAAGCTCCCACTCAGGCTTCGGATACTTCTCTTCGCGGCTTTCAGACCTGGTTTCGGGATGGTCTTGCCCCAATTATGTTTTGGAATTGGCAGCGAGTGAGACTGCGAAGGTGCGACCCAGATCACGCACGATGAGGCCATGTCCTATGCAGGCCACCTTCTGGATGGGGTGGGGGCTCTTTTTGGGTAGTTTTTGTTTTTGTTGGGTATTTTTTTGGTTTTCGCATGCATGGCTTCAAATGCCGAATGCCGAGTCAGTCAGCCAGTCAGTCGGTCAGTCGATGCGCGAGCCCGCCGGGCAGTCAAGATGTCAGTCGGTCAGTCGCCCCGCGGAAAACTCAATCGACACTCTTTGCTCCCCGCGCAAGAACCCACTAGTGTCACCACATTGTTGGTGGAACAACGGTGGCTTAGGCGCGCTTCTTGTTGAGGTCGAGGTCCTGTTTTCGCCATGTCAACATCTGTTATAGCCGAAGTTGGCTTGTTGCCGACTCAGCCGGGAATCTGGTCCACTGCCCTCCCAGCTGCCTTCAAGCTTCGGCAGGACCACGCCCTTGCTAATGGTCTCGTCTGAACTCGGCCTGTAGTTGAGTTTACAGAGCTCAGAGGGCTGTGCATGAACAACGTGCACTTCCTTCGTTTCACGGCACCAGGAAGCTCGGAGGCTGCAAGCGTGCCAACGAGTAGAAGGGTCAGGCGAATCATGTTGCGCTTCCATGACAGCTTATCGGTTACCTGTTTATGCCAGCCAATTTCTGCGCAAGATGCCACTGGCAGGGCTAGAACTCACATCGGCTGGCATGCGAGCTCTTTTTGCAGCTGTTCCAGAACGCCGAAAGACTGAATCACACGTTGGAAGCCACTTCGCATGGACACGGAGTCCACTCTGCAGAGCATCTTCAGAGTGAATGGAATCATGAGTATAACAGTATAAGCCACCCTCTGCTCTGTCCATGGCCATGCTCAGGCCGGCGGCATCTCAATTCCACTCCACTCCACAGCTCTAAGCATCGCAGCAAAGCCCTGGTGCCTTTGCCAGGAGATCACAGCCTGAAGGACCTTCGAGTAAGAGCCTTGCAGATCTACCCGAGGCAGGCTCTCGCTTCTGTCAATCTTTACTGGGCCGTGTGGGGTTCCCACACCTCAGCCTTGGAGAAATTCGGCCATTCAACTTTTTCTATAGATTTTCGGCTCGAAGTGCCCAGATCCTTTATAGGAAAGGCACCTTCCATGCGCAATCTCTCTGATTCAGACAACGCAGCGTCCGGTGATTACCCGGGAGATGTGTCGCGGCTCTTCGTTCCTGCCACAGGAGGTTCTGTCACTGTGCCCAGGCGATCGGAGGATTTGCTGGTAGATGTGCAGCCTGAGTTGGTGCGAGGAGTGCCCATGAGCAACATCTTAAGACGCTTTGGGCTAGAATGGAGACGGGGAAGTCAGCCAGGATCCTTGTCGTGGAGGACGGAACTTTCCAAGCAGACGCAACGCTACAGTTTTTTCTTCAGTCATGATTGGGAAACATCGGGGTGGATGAAATACCTGTCACTGGTGATTTACTTCAACAGCCGAGCAGCCGCAACAGCAACCTGCGTCACGAGCCTGGCACTAGGTGTCCTCGGTGCATCGACACGAGATATGCCGGACGGATGGATTCTGCCCAGGACTGCTTGGATGACGGTGCTTGGGCATGTGGTCGGAATGAGTTTCCTGCTCTTCTGGCAACACCTGCGTGAATTTTTCTGGGGGATCCGCTTTAGCTTTCTTGATCGTTTGTGTATACCTCAAGATGACCCAGAGAAGAAAAGCGAATGCATTTATGCCCTGGCCTCCTTCCTGAACAAATCCGACGATCTCATCGTGCTGTGGTCTCCGAGATACTGTCGCCGATTGTGGTGCATGCCCTTTGGCCCTCTCTAGTGGCGGCAGTGCGTAGCATTCCCTGTAGTGGGGTCGGTGTTCTAAACTCCCGCAGTCAGGTTATGGCCCTAAACCCTAAGGTGCAGGAGGCATGACATGAGGTCCCGAGGCAAAAGCAAAGGCATGCGGAGGCTTAAGCGGGAGACCGCGAGGGGTGGCCGCCTGAGCAATGAAGAACGAAAAACGCGGAAGGGGATTAAAAAGCGTCAGATGGTAACGTTTAGGGGAAATTAGGGCCATGCAACCACGACTAGTGTCGTGCCCGGAAGCGATTGCCCTGCCGCGTCCTGCTCATCAGGTACGAGGTTGCCTGCTTCCTGATTAAGCGCAAGGCTGCCCACCGAATCAAGTTCCTGCCCGTGCAAATTTCCGTCATATGGATCCTGACTTACTTTGCTGTGTCAACGACATGGCTGTCCTTCCTGCTGCTCCAACGGCTCGGGAGTGAGCTCGTAATTAGTTGGCATGACTCCACCGGAAGGATCAACACCGTTGGGGTAATGATGGCAGTTCAGGTTGGGATCCTGTATCCGCCCCTGTTTTATCTCCTGAACCAGATGCTGTTCGACATGGCCCAGTTGCCCGAACAGCTGCAAGGTTTCGATATCGAGACAGCCGAATGCTTCTGCTGCTCTAACAATCATCGGCAAGCTGTGACTGGAGAGCAGATCCAATGTGACCGTGAGCTCATCTATGGCGTATTGCAGCTGTGGTCTTCCGGCAATACTGCGTTGGAGGAAGGGAGTGCGCGGCGTATCCAGCGTGTCTTCAAAAGCCACTTGGACAAGCACCTGCGAGAGTCAGTCGAGCAGGCTTTTACACACAGTGGGATTCTCATGCGCCCGTTGATGTCTGCCGCTGCGATCGGTTCCTTCCCCTTTTTGTGCGACTTCATTGGCAAGGAGGGTGCCAGAGTAGTGCAAGCCTGGCCGCGCCCGAAACCGATCAACAACTTTGGCCTCGCTGTCTACATGTTGTTTTGCATGCCGATCTTCCTCCGCAGTCTTCTGATGCTAGGCAAAGCCAGCACTTCGTGCTGGAATCGGTCTTGGTTCAGGCACGTAATTATCGCTTGCCAAGCGGTGTCCTTGCTCCTCATCGGCTTGCTGTTCATAGTGGGCTATCTGGTCTGCATCGCAGCTAGCAAGGATAATTGGACGAGAATGACATCGCCCATGGATCCCCTGCCACTGTACTTGCTCTGCTTAGTTGTCCTTTGCAGTGTGGCCGTCGGTCTGCGTCATCTATGCTCCTGCCGGAAGTCAGTCCTGATCGGAGGCGCACCTTCTACAGGGCGGAAGAAAGCTGTATCACCGCAGGCGACATTGGAGTCGTCTGCTGCCAAAGAGGTGCAGGTGCCGGAAGTGATGGCCTCTGCATCCGACATGTCGGAAGAGTCGACTTTCGAGATTTGACTGGGTGCTCCAATGTTGCAATGTCAGCTTGAGTCCAGGGACTACTCGGGCTTTGAAAGACCCGAGTCTGACCTTGGCATTTTAAAGATCTTATGAAGTTTCACCCGACACCAGCGTATCAGTTACTACAGGGTCCAGATCCGACAAGAGCTTCGCAGAGGGAAGCCTTTTTTTTGGTGAGGAAATCGCTTCGTGCCACTCGACGCCCAGGCCAATGCCATGAAAGACTCCCTCTGGTTCTTAGTAGAATGGATCCCCATGATGGTCCCTGAAGGTCCCCTCTAGTATATAGTCCCAATAACCCATTCCCCCATTCCTCACTAAGAACCACCCAGAAGAGAGCGCTGCATCCACTGCACCCAGACAACCACCTGAAGATGGCCTTGTGTTGAAAGGCAAAGGGGTCGGCAACATGCTTCCAAAATGACACTTCGGGTGGTTTGGTAGTTTGGCACGTTTTTGTTTTGTCAGGTTCTGCTTTCGACTCCTGGCAATCTAATCCTGCCATGCAGTCAAGCTTCGGGAGGACGAGGCCCTTGTGAATCGTCTCGTCTGAACTGGCCTGTAGTTGAGTTTACAGAGTAGCTCAGAGGACTGTGCATGAACTGCATGATGCACTTCCTTCGTTTCACGTAGCAAGTTAGAAATCTTCGAGGCTGCTCACGCTCTGGAGCCACTTGGTACCGCACATACCAACCACTCATCGCGTGCTGACGGCAGGATGCAATTGGCACAAAAAGCTCCGGGTTATCTCCTAGGAACCCCTCAGGCCAACTCCGACTGGCCGCGGTCATCACATCCATCAGCGCTTTTGTCAGGTACCTTGTGCGTGTTCCGGTCCAAACTACAAGCCATGCGTCTCCGATTGCCCAGCCGCCCTTCGTTTTTTGACAGCCAAGTTGAACAGAAGGTGCATGGAATGCTGCATTAATCAAACCTGATCTGGTCCTTAATTTCGGCACATGGTCTCGGAGCTCACCCAAAGAGCAAACTCCCGACCAGTCTTCTCTTTGGATCCAAGCCATCCGAGCACCTGCCTTTGTTACTGCAGCCCGCACAAGTATCCTTGCAAAGCTGATCATCTCAGCCTGGCCACTTGCTCATGTCGGAAAGACTGAAATCGTGTTTATGGGCCATGCCTGGGCCATGGCTGCGCACTGGTCGCATGCGCGGCAAGGCCGGGGGGGCGTCTGATTTGGAGCACGAATCCTGGGGCGCGCCACCGCTTGCATGCGACCAGGTGCTCACGGCCTTTGGCCTTCCAGCAATAGGAGCTCCGCGCGCCGGGCTGGGCTCCCCGAGGCCAACTGAACCCCTGCAAACAAGATCCGTTCAGTCCGTGCATCCTCTGAATCGCTAGAGTCCCGATGACATCCTCCCCGCCTGACAGCCCAATCAGCGGAAGCCTGAAATTTCGGACTCGACCTGGGGAGGCTTCGGGCTGTTGGATGTTTCGAGGGGCTGGAAACCTAGCTGTCAAGATGCCAACTAAGGCTGCACAAGCCTCCAAACCTGGCCCAAATCCAAGACTTCGAACCAGTCTTCGAACCTCTAACCCTGAGCTAGACTGAGCTGGAAGTTTTACGGCGCAAAATGAACGCAAGAGCCTCGATCCCAAACCCTAACACCCTCAAATTTTTGTCTGCTTGTACTTGATGTTTATGTGTACAGCGAAAGAGATACTGCTCTTGCTGTCGCCGCCGCTGTCGTCGTGTTGAGGCTGCAGTTGTATTTGTGGTGGTGGTGCCGGTTGTGGTGGTGGTGGTTGTTGTGTTTGATTGAGTTCTGGTGGTCCAGGTGGTTCGGGTGGTTCGGGTGGTTCGGATGGTTCAGGTGGTTCAGGTGGTTCAGATGGTTGTGGTATGTTGTGGTGGTAGGGTGCAGTTGTGGTTGTGGTTGTAGTGGTGGTTGTGGTTGTGGTTGTCGTTGTCGTTGTCGCTGTTGTGGGGGTGGTGGTGGTGGTGGTGGTGGTGGTGGTGGTGGTGGTTGTGGTTGTGGTTGTCGTTGTCGCTGTTGTGGTGGTGGTGGTGGTGGTGGTGGTGGCGGTGGTGGTGGTGGTGGCGGGGGCGGTGGTGGCGGTGGTGGTGGTGGTGGTGGTTGTGGTTGTGGTTGTGGTTGTCGTTGTGGTTGTCGTTGT